AAAAAAAAGCCGGAAGTGGCTCTGTGGCTCAAGTGGTAGAGCGCTCGCCTTGAGCTGAAGAGCTGAGGGATAGTGCCCAGGCCCAGAGTTCAGGGCCCACGACCAGCCAAAAAAAAAAAAAAAAAAGTTTTTCTATGAGCCTCTTTTCTAAAATTTGAAAGGTGTTGTATAAGAATATTGTTTCCGCCGGGCGCCAGTGGCTCAGGCCTGTAATACTCAGGAGGCTGAGATGTGAGGATGAAAGTTCAAAGCCAGGAAAGTCCTTAAGACTCTTTATCTCCAATAAAGAGTGTGGCTCAAGCGGTAGAGCGCTAGCCTTGAGCTGAAGAGCGCAGGGACAGCGCCCAAGCCCAGAGTTCAAGCCCCATGACCCACCAAAAAAAAAAGAATATTGTTTCTAAGCTAGGCGCTGTTGGCTCACAACTATATTCCTAGCTTAGGAGGCTGAGATCTGCGGATCGCAGTTAGAAGCCAGTCAGGGCAGGAAAGTCCCTGAAAGACTTTTATCTCCAATTAACCACTCAAAAATGGGAAGTTGCACTGTGATTCAAGTGGTAGAGCCATAGCCTTTAGCTCAGGGGACAGCACCTAGGCCCAGAAGTCAAGCTCCACAACGGACCAAAAAAAAAAAAAGAATATTGTCTCCAGACCTGAATTTCAACAGATTCATTGAATAATGGCCATGTATCCATCTTTTTTGTCAATCATGGGGCCTGAACTCTGGGCCTGGGCACTGTCCTTCAGCTTTTCAGCTCAAATCTAGCATTCTACCACTTGAGCCACAGCACCACTTCTGGTTTCCTAATGGTTTATAGGAGATATGAGTCTCCCAGAGTTTCCTGCCCGGGCTGGCTTTGAACTGTGATCCTCAGATTTCAACCTCCTGAATAGCTAGGATTACAGGCATGAGCCAACTGGGATCCGGGTTTCCATCTCTTGATAATAGCTAGATCTCTGTAATGTGAATAAAATTTAACAGTATATTAAACCTCTTTGGGGTTTGCAAGCCCATAAGCTCTTACAGTTTGGTAAATGCAAGGAAGTTTTCAAATATACACCACAGCTGATAATATTGTGTGTTTGTGTGTGTGTGTGCGCTAGAGCCTGAGTACTGTCTTTGAGCTTTTGGGGTTTTTTGTTGTTGTTGTTTTTAATTATTTTATTTATTTTGTACAAGGTTAGCGGTCTACCACTTGCCACACTTCCACCTCTGGCTTTTGGTGATTATTGATAAAAGTCTCATAGACTTCTGTGCCCTGCCTGGCTTTGAACCACAATCCTCACATCTTATCCTCCCAAGAAGTTTGGCTTCCAGTAGTAATTTTTATTTCTTTTTTTTTTTTTTTGTCCGTCGTGGGGCTTGAACTCTGGGCCTGGGCAATGACCCTCAGCTCTTCAGCTCAAGGCGAGCGCTCTACCACTTGAGCCACAGCGCCACTTCCAGTTTTCTGGTGGTTTATTGGAGATAGCAGTCTCACGGTCTGTCCTGCCCGGGGTGGCTTTGAACCTCTATCCTCAGATCTCAGCCTCCTGAGTAGCTAGGATTACAGGCGTGAGCCACCAGCACCCAGCTCCTTCAGTCATTATTGAAATACAATATAGTCAATCTAGTTGTTCTAGAATTGATAAGGAACCGGTAAGCCCTAGAGGAGCTTTCTAGCTCTCTGCCCTAGAGGAGATATTCTAGCTCTCTGCTAATAGCGCCAGAGAGGACTTCATGAGGAAAGGTTTCACGTAATACAGAAAGGGCTGTCAGGGGGCTGGGAAGGTGGCTCAGTGGTAGAGCGCCTGCCTTGCATGCCAGAGGCCCTGGGTTTGATTCCTCAGCACCACATAAGCAGAAGAAAAAAAAAGCTGCAAGTGGTGCTATGGCTCAAGTGGTAGAGCGCTAGCCTTGAGCTGAAGAGCTGAGGGACAGTGCCCAGGCCCAGAGTTTAGGCCCCAGGACCGGACCCAAGGAAAAAAAAAAAAAAAAAGGGCTGTCAGTACTGAACTTAAGACTAGGAACACTTGGGCTAGGAAGGTGGCTCAGCGGTAGAGCGCTTGCCTTGCATGCATGAGGCCCTGAGTTTGATTCCTCAGCACCACATAAGCAGAAAAAAAAGCCATAAGTGGCGCTGTGGCTCAAGTGGTACGAGTGCTACCCTTGAGCTGAAGAGCTGAGGGACAGAGTTCAGGCCCAGAACCAGACTAAAAAAAAAAAAAAATGACTAGGAACACTTTAAATTTGAAAATGTACAACTTAACAGCTGGGTGCCGGTGGCTCACACCTGTAATCCCAGCTACTCAGGAGGCTGAGATCTGAGGATCCGGTTCAAAGCCAGCCTGGGCAGGAAAGTCCCTGAGACTCTTATCTCCAATAAACAACTAGAAAAACCGGAAGTGGCTCTGTGGCTCAAGCCATAGAGGGCTTGCCTTGAGCTGAAGAGTGTAGGGACAGCACCCAAGCCCAGAATTCAAGCCCCACAACTGACCAAAAAAAAAAAAAAA